CCCACCCCCCCCCCCCCCCCCCCTCCTCTCTGTCCAACCCCGCTGTGGGGCCAAGCAGCAGAGTTGCCTGAAGACACCATCGGAACTGAGCGACTCCGAAACGAGGACTCGGTGGCACGAAGTCGACTGTTCAGTAGCGCAGCGCGGAAGAAAGAGCCCAGCCCTGGTTTACGTAAGTGCCTGACCGCGGTTCCACCCAAGCGGAAATTGAAACTGCAATGCCTAGTCGCGACATCGTTGCGTCATCTTACTACAAGAAGTACACTTTTAAAGGGTCCATAGCATTTTCACCCCAGAGTCCCAGGTCCAACCCCAAGGCAAGGGTTGTGCGCGTGACATGTCTGCACGAATCAGCTGCTCTGTTTACACGCCGTTCTGTGCTGTTCCCCTCATCACGTGGTCCCCTGTTTGTAATAGTTTCTTCAAAAGAGCGCTTTGTTCTCGAGACAGTTCTGAATATGGCGAGCGCTCCGTGTTCAACACCTGAGACCACGACGACAATTACGATCATGTAAGACGGGGACCACAGCTGGTTAATTGCGTGGGAGTCGAGGTGGAGGGGGGAATTCGTCCTTGTGCAATGCACGTACAGTCATTCGGAGAGAAAAGTCGAGCCGGATTCTGACTTGTCCCGCAGACGAGAGGTAATATTAGAACGCAGTGCATCCATCGCTCGCGTCTCGTGTGCTTTGTGTAGGACGAATAGAAGTCACAGCCGATCGACGTTTTCGTGTGCATGCTCCAACGTTTGTTTTGAAGATCCATCGATTTACTCGAGTGCACTCCGCCCTTTCAAGATGGAGGAAGAAATGTGGCGCCAGTTCTACGAGAAAGTGAAAGAATCAGAATCGAAGAAAGACAGGACGGAGCATGACATAAGGTGAGACTATCAGTGCCGTTGGTATTTTGTAAAACCACGAACAACTTCCGTCAGTGTAGGTGATATGTGCGCCGAGATCCGAACTCGGGTCCCGTCTTGTTGCCACGTATGAACGTTCTTGTACAAGAATATTATCGCCTTTTGTTTTGTTAATTGTTGTCCGAAACGTCTGTTTTCGTCTCTCCAGCACGAAACGAACCGAGGATTGTTTTAATATTTAAGGTGCAATGTTCAGGTTTGTTATTAACAATCGAATTTTCGCGTCTGGTGATCAGTGTCAACAATTGCTACATCAGATTTAACGAAACCATTTGCCACTGAATTTGTTTCTGTACGGCTGTTTGTTGCCAGTACTCACCTATTCGCGAGTCCGCATTATCGAACTGCAAATAATCGACTTGTACTCCGTGGTCGATTGTTTCATGCGATGGGCTTCGAGTACGCCACTTCTGTTCTATTGATCGTTTCTTATATGAGGTTGGTAGGATTTTGATGTGAGGACATTAAAGCAGGAACAAATATAAAATAAATATCGCACAACAGAGAAACAAACCTCTTCATTTCGTCCGTCCGTCCGTCCGTCCGTCTGAGAGCCTACTGAACGACGTGTCTTCGATCGCCCGGCCTAAGCCTATAAATATTGACAGTGAACGATGAACCTAACCTAACCTAACTCACGTTTTACTTAATCGCCTTCCGATGTCAACTGGCTGAAATGTGTTAGGTGGGGGATCAGCATTGTGTTCTCTTAGTTTGGGAATTATTACGTAAGCTGTACTTCGGTTTGCGGTGTTGGTGTTGTCATTATGTAAGGTCTGTTTTTAAACGTGCCGTCACCTTCTGGTTGTTCCATTGTTTGCGTCTTTGGAAAGAGAGTCAGTGACCAAGCAACCGTTTCTGCATATTTCCCACGTCAGAAAAAGGTTTGATTTCTTTGTTTTCACTTCACTTCAGTATAATTAAAAAATAAGTGACTTGTTGCAGCCTTCAAGTGAAGTTGTTGTCGGATCGGATCGTAAAGAATTTTGAAAAGCGGACACTTGCAAAACCGAAAGGGAGATGGCAGAATAACACTGATAACAGTTTTGAATCGTGAAGTGCCGTTGACTTGTTACTTTGTAAATAAGTTAATAGGCCGGGGCTTCTGACGCGTTGATCAGCCTGTGACCGGCGTTGGATCAATGAGGACCTTGGTACGAGGTTCGTGGAGCGGAACGCCGGTCAGGACCCGTTGTTTGAAAAGTTCTCTGTTTACGTACTTCATTACTCACGTCTATTTATGGCTCCGTCAGCTTCTGCGATCAGAACTGTAAAACGGAGGAGAATTTTGGTAGGAAAATATTTTTAAAGCTTCCATTTTGAAGCCGGTGTTGCGGACCCTGATGTTGCAGGCTTCTTGTCGGGAAACAAAACGCGACTGTGAACGGAAGAAGGCCACGGACCTGCACGAAGGGATCAGAACCTTTGTCTTCCGTGGTGTGGATGTTTTCTTGTTAAGACAAAAAAGAGACGCGGCCCCTTGATTAGAGAATCACGTCATTGCCACATCGCGTCTTAAGGATACGCGGACGTACACGAAGGGGGTGTCCGGTGCCGGAGCGGCTGAAGACTCGTTAACCGAAGCAATTTTCTTTGTCGCGTGTTACAGCGAATCCCTCCTCGTTTTCCCCGTTGCGAAATGGTGCACGACTTTCCTCCGGAACTGTTGGTACGACGAGGTCGTCATCCATTCGACTGTCCTGTGACTCACCACAACAGACGACTTGCAATTTCTTTTGTATATTCTGACGTCGTTTAAGTGGCAATGACGTATTTGCATAATTGCATCTCGGAAGGTATTTGCACTTTTCGTCTGTCCGCAGGAAGAATGTGGTTTGACCAGTTTCTTCGAAAAGAGTCATCACGAGCGGGGAACCACGTGGAAGAATCAGCTGATCGTCGCCACTTGGTCTTCCGCCAACCTCCTGATTTCTCTCAAGAAAACACGTGTTCGAAACCAGAAGAAGATTTTGATGGTCCCGTGAGAACGAAGCCGCTGTCTCTCTCATGAATAGCGAAGCCTGTTTCTTGTACGTCAGGATCGTCCTCTGACGTCATCGCATCTCTCCTGCTCGCTTGCAGCCTGTGCAGTTCGCAGGCGAAAATGATGATGAGATTATTTGAATCTGTCTTAAAGAAGGTCGTGTCTGTTTCAACTTAACGAATTGAGATAAGAGTACACGCTGAATTCATCTCGCTTTGTCGGCCCACTTTACAAGGAGCTCAAATACGACTTGAGATTTCCCAGAAATAAACCAGGATTAAATTTAGGCGTGGACCTCGTTAATGTTGTCCTGCGCGCAACGCCGTTTTTTTATATGCAGCGTAAGTGATACTACTTTCGGAAATTTATAAATTTGGAAGTAATCACCAAAACCCAGTGGTTATTAACCGGTAAGCCGCGACCCGCAAGGGTTCGCCCTATTCCCAGTCCCCCGCGGGGGAGGGGGCGGTCGTCAGAGACGAACCGTCGAGGAACCTTGCTGGCTCCAGCCCCCCTGATGGTGTGATTTGTTGCAGAATCCAGGAGCTCGACGGAGGTTTCTTCGAGAAGTTTGGGACCTTGCTGAAGGAGCAACACTCCCAGCAGGAGGATGGCGACGGCCTGGCCTCCGTGCGCGAAGACGAGCAGCCCCGGAGCGTGGAGCTGCAGCTGGACATTCCAGAGGAAACTGGAGAAGGCAGCCCTGCGATGGCGCTCCAGGACAGCGACTCCGAGCCGGACGACGCGGACAAGCGCGAGTTCATCACTGACGCAATGGGCTGGAATGTAAGTTCGAGGAGTAAACGGGCCACCGGACGCCGTCTTGAGCCCTCGATCCTCGCCTTGGACGGAAAATTAGTCTCTTCCTTTCAGGTTTTCTGACCAGAATTTTGCGTGCTACGTGTCCAGCCAATATCCGCCTTGATTTCATCGCCGTGATGTTTACAGGCCCCTTCTGATGCTGTTGAGGCGGAGACGCGGTTAACGGATTTAGACGCCGACGTCGAAGGGAAGATTAACTTAAATTGTAACGAGACGAGAAGCAGATGCTGCATTCTCAATTTCTTGTTATCTTCCCAGGTTTTCCGTAGCTTGGACTGGGTCCAAAGTCGCACGTGCTCTGGATGTTTCGTAATTGAGTTTGGTTCCACCTCCTTTATAAATAATTGCGTCCGAGACGGGGGGCTGTCCTCACGTTGTCACTGTGGAGCACCAAAAACACTTTGAAGTTCGTCTAAACAACGTTTAAAAATCTACTTCCTCCCACGAAGGGACATGACATTCATCGGAATTAGCAGCAATTTGCTCGGAGCCCATAAACAGGCCTGCACTCTGTGGGCAAAACACAGACTTACTGAATGTACGTGTAGTTGATATTTATGCCTAGGCAGTTTTCTCTTTTCTTTTCTCTCACTTTTCCACCTTGGCAAGGAAGTGGACGCCGTGTATCGACTGTATGAATGGATACCATCCGCATGGCGTTGAACCGAAATGCTACGTCCTTTTCCGTCGTCGAACGCGATTGTGCCAGCTCGCATTCTGAGAGTAACCAGATCGAACCTCGGCCGATGTCCTCGTGGATATCTCCAGTTCCTTCAGGAGATAGGCATCGCCTTAGAATGGGCCACGGCAGCTGCTTCGCTCGCTGTTTCCATTCCGCCATTGATGACTCACTCACTGGCCGCCAGACGCGGCCGCGTGGTAAAACAAGCGAAGTTCTGAATCCATCAATTTCTTTTCCAAGTTTGTTTATTGAGCAGACGTTATTTATCGCGAGAGACTTGAAGAATAAACTCCGACGACGAGAGCAGAAACAGGACATTCGCCCAGAATGACGCAGGAAAACCACGAGTGAAGTTAATGGGAGTGCCTGTTTCTTCGGCTGAGATTTTTGCCAGGCACAGATCAGACGTATCACCGCTACTTAAACCTGCGCCAGGTGCAGTTGTGTTATTGATCTCAAATCAGTCCAGAGCGGACATTTTTTTTTCTCGCGACACAAGTAACGATTGTTCAATGCGATTGCAATAATCGATACATTTTCCGCTCCCGGAATGGCGCCTTGGAGAGACATTCTTAAGAATTTCGCGTGAGGTTCACTCTGTACAGAGCTACGTTTTCCGAATTGTCTCTCGTCGTACGAAATAATCCGTAACTTTTATCTGCGAATCTCTCGACGCGATGTGAGTAACGAACCAATCAGCGCATCCCATCAGCAGTGAATGAAGATCTCGGCAAAACCCGTGAACTCTGATATGGAGTAAGCCTTCCTTTTTTTTATTCTCGAAAAACAGGTATTAATGAACATGTTTAGGAATATTAAAGCCGTGGCAGGTTCATTATTCGATAATTTAAACAACTTAAGGCACATCTTGAATGTCAGTAAAGAGAGGCCTTCAGTGTCATTCTCGCTTCCTGTCGATGAATCAAAGCTCTGTTTGTTTGCCTAGAATACACACGCACTGCAAACAAGTTCAGGGCTGGGCGCCTGGCCCTTTACCAAATTCCACCTTTACCTCCGAGTTCTGTATCACAAATATTAGAAGCGCAATTCACAGTGCTCCTGACATCGCGTTATGTTGAGGCAGTCCTCATCTTCGCAGACGAAGATCATAAGAAAATGGCGTTTAATAATCACCAGGAGCCAAATGGGTCGAAATAGACTTGCACGAAAGCAGGAAGCCGCAAATAGAATTTGGCAGGTCGTGCCTAAAGGACCACGACGTAGCTTATATCATCCGTGTCGCAAAATCAGCGAAATTTGATTAATTTGCGGTTTCGTTTCGGAGGTAACGGAAGTCGGGCTTCGTATTAAAATTTTGATCGGCGTGGCTATTTTTGCGTCCAGGGCGGTAATGTTGTAACAATGCGATTTGCGCATGCCCACGCTAAGCGACGCAGCTCAGCTGATGTTAGTGCGTGGTCTGATAGGATTCGTGATTTTTGCACCTCGACGGCGCCGAACTCTTAGTTTGCCCGGAAGATGCGAGCTTGGAGGAGCGGCGGTTGAGGTTGTCCGGGTCTTCGGTGACGCGTGGACGAAGGATGATGGCTGGTGGAGCAGGGACGATGACAAGGCCGAGGCGAAACACTTTTCGTGGCGTCAGGAAGGAAATGCTTCAGAGACAGACGACTCTCATCCTGCAGAGTATGACAGTGAGTCCTGCAGGCAAATGCCATTCGGGATAGGACTTTCTGGAATCTGTTTACTCGTTTCATCCGGGGAGCGATTTGAATCGGCGCTCGGCGCGGTTACTGTTAAAAATGTTGGTGATTGCTGTTTTTGTTGTTGTTCCGCAGATTGAAGAGCTGTACTCTGAGATTCTTTACGAAATCCTTCATATTGTTGGCTGCGACGCGGCTGCCGAGGAAGAACGCGCGCCTCTGTTTTGCTATCTGCAAGAAGCCTTCAAGTTGGATTACGAAAAACATAATCAGCTGCTAGAAATGGCACGAGCGAAGGAGGTGATTGTCAAATCCACTTGTGGATGTTTTTTTTTTTTGTTCTTGTAGCAACAAAAGGTCTTTAGAAGGAAACGCAGAATTTTTGGAAGAAATTTCTGACACAGATTTTCGCCCTGAAGATGGGTGTGGTTGGAAACTTCTTCTGATCCTACGAGCACAAAGTGTTACAGGCAAGAAGACTGTACACTATATGAACGTAACATTAAGCTTTTCCTCAACCAAAATTACAAGTAGATTGAATCGAAATATCAAATTGAACTTCCTTTGTCTTTTTCAGTACTTGTAATTATGTACGTGTAGCTTTTGAGAAGTTTTTGTTAATTTTAAAATGTTCCAGGCACCAAACATTCTCTTAAATGTTGAGGTCATTGAAGCCAGAGATTTGAGGCCAAAGGATGCAAATGGTAAGTTAATTCTCAAATTTAATTTCTGTTTAATTCTGTAAATGTAAAGATCAGTTTGATGAGACGGAGACCTACGTCTCTCAGTGGTTAAGGTCGCATCTCCCACTGAGCAGGGGGCGTGCGAGTGATGCTCTCGATTTTGTCAGTGGCGCTGCTGAGGGAAGGGGTCGCGGTGATAACGAGGATGAGATTCTGAAGACAAAAAAGAATCTCAACCTTTCGGCTTGGAACCGAACTCTGACCGTTCAGTTCAAAATTCAAAGCGCAGATCTGTGGAAAGAATCTAACAGCGTCTCCTTGTGTATTTGCGCAGGCTTAAGTGATCCGTTCTGCACCCTCTTTCTTACGTCGTCCGTTGCTCATCGCTACAACACTTCCGTCAAGCAGGAAACGTTGAATCCCGTGTGGGAAGAACACTTCTCGTTGTAAGTGCAATATCTTGTCTCTTTGTTTACGTAATTGATATTTGAATGCCTTTGCAAGTTTCATGAGTAAACGATAAAGTGTCATATATTTTTATTATAAACAGATTTAGAAATAACTTCAACCTTCTGAAGCCAAAACTAGCCTAAATAATGCTTAATAATTCAGCCCCTATAAAACAGAGAGAGAGAGAGAGAGAGACTGTGGCATGTTTTGAATGTGCTCTGCATTCTTGTAATGTCGACTTCTTGCCTCTAATTTATCTTTTATTTTGTTTAGGCCAGTGGAAAATCCAGCAGAAGATGTTCTCTACGTTGAAGTTTGGTACGTAATGCCATGCTTTAAGCTTTGTTTATTTGAATAAAAATGTAAGCTCGTAATTTGTGCCACTAATACCTTTTTTTCAACATGTGGCACACATGGAGGAGGAAAGTTGTGTTTACAAGGTTTTGGTTGGGAGGCCTGAATGGCGGAGACCGCGGGAAATACCTAGGCGTAGGTGGGAGGATAAAGTTAAGATGGGCCTTAGTGAGATAGGAATCGATGGAGAGAACAGGATGCGGCTGGCTGAGGATATATTCCGGTGGTGAGCTTTTGTGAACATGGTGATGAACCTCCAGGTTCCACAAAGAAAGTGGGCTATTCTTTGACAATGGACTTTTCGAAGAATATCTTACGCCGTAAAGTGAGTGGTACCAATTGTACAATTTCAGGGACTTTGATCCAGCAGAGACAGTTCGAGAGAAGATGATGAAGATTGGAGAAGTGAAAGGGGTGAGAGGCCTGAGGAAACTCATGAAGGAGATAGCTGTTACTGCATCCACAGGCAAACATGACAATGAACTGGTGGGCTGTGCTGCCCTACCTCTGAAGGTATTATTACTACTTGCAGCGGAATGTTGTTCTTTAGCTTTTATAAATTGTGTCTGCGTAGTAACAAATAAAGTTTGTTCTGGTAATTAATATTTTTTCCATTTTCTTCACCTGTCTATATAATATCTTTCAGAGGTGCTTGTCTTATGTCCGTTCGCACATTATTTCACCAATCACCACGCTCGGTTTGTGATTACAGAATATCCCGGCTTCAGGTCAGACGCTGTGGTGCACGTTGGAAAAGAAGGGCAAAGCAAAAAAACAGGGAGATGTGAAGATCCAACTTTCCTTCAGTTCTGAGAAGAACTCGCAGGTTGCTTCTCAAGAACACAGACATCTTCTTCGTCTTATGTTACTACATGAACTAGAAAATTCAAAGGTTTGTTTCTTGTTCATGTCCTTTTTCTTCTGGGTGTTTCCTGTTGGTATCCGCTGAGCTTTGCATCGGTTGTCCGTGAAAGTTACTGTTCGGTTATTTGACTTTTTTTATTTTGTCTTCATCAGGAGCCATAAAAGTTTGAAACCGTAATATTTTTAATTGCAGTGTGTTTCTGTTGCTGTAATGACTCCGTGCGTGTTGCGGAGTCTGTGCAGGTTGTCGTGCCGCAGGGCCCTCCCACTGTGTCTAACTCTGGCCCTGCTTTCTAGCTTTTAATAATACAACGTTATTGGTTGCTAAAGTTAGCTGCCACGTACACCAACTTCCTTGGTCAAATAACAATCCTGAATTTCAGTGTGTTCCATCAGACTATAATTTTAATTACGCAATTGATCGTCTTCTGTATAGTGGAAAGAGTTGTGCGGGAAATTTGGTTTTCGTTATTTTATTATGAAGTGCTCTTGGCAGAAATTTTTACAAATCAAGGAGCACTAAAACACTAAAATCATTTTTATTTAATATTATTATCAAGGGGATACATAATTTATTAAAGGGGTTGTTGCAGGGTCTTATTAAATTATGGGAGAGGATATTTACATTACTATATTTTCTTAATCTTACAGGAATGTGATTTAGAAGAACCAGATGGCAAGATGTTTTCAAAATGCAAAGTTGGAGTATGTACTGGTCCATTAATATTGTAAAATGTCTTTTGTCCCTTGAGGTAGCTTAATCATTGGAACTAACCTAGGATTATACTAGTTTAAAGCAGGTGACTTTCATTTATTTTGTTTTGTGTCCACAAAATTTTATACGTTTTGAATGTGCTTCCTTAACTGAATTTATTAGGTTTTAACTGTGTCACTGTTTCAACATTTTGGCATGTATTCACCTTTAGTCCTTCAGGCTTTATGTTATGAAAAGGGAAAAAGAAGTGTGAGTAATGACCACCTACCCCCAGAGGGTTATGTGTTTACAGCTGCCTGGTGAAGGGAATAGCTTACTTCAAAGTGTAATGGCATATATATATAATTTTCTGTTGGAACTGGTAGCTCATTTGCAGTAGAATGTAACTGTATCTTGTTTTGTCATAGTCCTAAGTCCTTCTGCTTTTCCCTTGAAAGAAAATAAGCAAATTATTTTTCACAGCTGGTTCTCCTATTTTGTTTGAAGGTTGGCACTAACAGTCTTTTGTTTTCAATACGTTTGTGAGTGAAGGGAATTGTAGCTATAATGAGTGGGAAATTAATGTACACTATGTTGGTAGATCTACACATATTGGAAAACTGTACAAAACTGTTCAGTTGTAACTACTGTCTGTACATGTGCTGTTCTTTTTTACCTAATTACTTCACTCAGTTAATAAGTATAAATTAATGACTTAGAATAAATATCTGCAGGTAGCAGCAAAGAAAAAGAAAGCAGCTTGGCTATAGAGAAGATTATTATTTACATTTAATTGAGATTATATTAATATATTAAGAGTACAACTTTTAATGGAGAATCACCTTTATTGGTAATTAATAATTTTATAATTGAAACCATTTCTTTTCAATTGATTATTAGAGTGGATTTCTGTGATATCCCAGTGGCTGTGCTTTTTCTGTCATGTGCTGTGACTGCAGAAACCTAGGAAATGGCTGATTCTTTATCCAGGGAATCCTGTTGTGTGTTGAAAAGTCAGTGGTCAGAATGTCTAATTCTTAGAATCTCTTTGTTGGAAAGTACAAAGTCTGTGTCTTTGTGAATTGGTTTGTGCCGTTTAACTTACCAGGCAAAATACACGTTTGTTTGGTGTTGTAGGTTGAACCTTTCCAGTGGAATGGCAAGTTCTCCCAGTCCGCAGAGACAATCCTGACCCAGCACCTTGTTCAGTGTGGACTGAGCACAGCGGTTGTAACTCTGGCACAGTGGGTAGAATTTTCCAGTGTACATGTGGACCACCCACTCAGCTTCATCACTTTCTCTCTCCTGCTTCAGAAGCTGATCAAACCGCTTCAGAATGGACTCATCACTGATGATGAGGTAATTGATCCAAACCTAAATGAAGAGTCCTGTGCTAGGCCATTCAGTGTTATAATTAAATTAGGACGAGGATGCAAGTGGTTCTTCGATGTCAAGAATCTCAAAATGTGATTATGAAGTGTGTGTTTTTATCACCTGTGTCACACATCCTTTTCACTGTAGTTAGATGTTTCTTGATTTTTTAGATATTCATAAAAAGTCTTTGAGACCTTTACTTAAAATAAATGTTGGCCTGCGTTGTCTGATGTTGAAATGGTGATTTCGTTATGCAGGTGATGGCAATGCTTTGAGCGAACATAATAATGCATTCAGTATGAGTCTTGTTAGCTCAGTGTGAAAAGAAGACTGGCTGAATGTGTTCAATTGCTTGTAGCATCATTGGGACATTGAGAATAAGTGGAGCCTTACCTTCATGGCGTGTTTATTTGGCAAATACACAATACAGACTTTATTTTGAAACACCACCACTAGACGATGATGATGAAGAATGCTTAGTTTGCCTTTTGTCTCCCAAGTATGGTCTCGTCCCTTCAGGCTTCCAAACTAAAATTCTGTAACCATCTCCATGAAGCAGAGTCCGTCTTCAGAGACTGGTGGTAGCTTAGCTGGCCATGAAATTTTCTACTTTTTATGAATGTTGAAGTTGCATTACTGTGTTCACAAGAGCCCATTGCTGGACCACATGAATCCAGTCCATAATGTCACACCCTATTTCTTTAAGATCCATTTTAATATTATTCTCCCAGATATTTTACAAGAAACCAATATAACACGCTTTACTGTGTGTTAATATTGCAGGATGACCTAACCGGAGTATATTATTGCCTTCAGTTGATGTGTCAAAGCTGCAAAGTCACTGTCTGGTGTAATGAGCTAACGCATGTTCTTTTTTAAATTTGTAATTCAGGAAAAGTTGTTCTGGGAAGCTGCAAAGAAGATATTGCCATCTTGTTACAATGGTATCAGGAAAATCCGGAAACTGACCCACAGTGATAAAAGCACCCTCCAGCAGCTTTCTGCTATTCTCAGGTGAGCACATGGAACATAAGGAGAATGTCGGGAAATATGAGTTTTACTATTGGTTCCTTTCTGTGTTTTGATGTTAGTAAGAGATCTGGATTTATTACAGTAGTATTTGTAGCATTATATTTTGTAAAGTTGAGTGCTCAAGTTCTAAACAAATAAGTGTAATATTTATGAAGGTGCATTACTATTTTCAGTATTTTGTCCCAGTTGGCAACACTACAACCTCCTGAAGGTACGAATCTGTTTCCCCCTTCCATATATGGTTGGCTCGCAGTCAGTGAAAATGAACCAAACTGTGATATCAGAGCCACTTTGGATGCGGCTGTGACTCAGGGAGCAGAGGATTGGTAAGGCCTGACCTCTATAGTTATGACAGCAACTGATGTTTGTGCATGGAGTACTGAAATTAAACTAACACAGTTTTCTGTGACAGGTTTTTCCACATCTTGGAGAATAATAACTCTAACGATCCTTCGGAAGAAGCGCAATTGAACCACCTCATACGAATAATACAACTTCTGAGAACGGATCTACAAAAAGCAATTGAATTTCATGATAGATTATTCCAGCAGTGAGTATTTCAAACTACCAAATGCTTGTATAATTGACTACTAGTAGAATAAAAGTGTCTGGCTGATATTTCAACTCCGTAATTAGAAAAGTATGTCAATGGATAATGTCAAGTGCCAAATACAAATGATCTGCATCAACAGGAACAATTTTCTTATGATTTCCTGTCCATAAGGAAAATGAACCAAACTCTGACATTTGGGCCACTTTGGATGCGACTGTGACTCGGGAAGAAGATGACCTCAGTAACTGTAGTTTTGGCAGCAGTAGACAAAGGCTTTTGAGATCTTCATGTCTGTGTGTGTCCCCATTTTAAACTTCTGAACCAGTTAAGCGTGTTTATTAAATTTAGTATGAACATTGTGCCGCTGAAGGCCACCCGGGCATCGTACTTATTGACCTCATGAGACAACAACGTGACAGACTCCAGACTTGTGATGTCTGAACAACGCTAGGGCACTCAATGATGCATGGTTATAGGTACTTGCAACATAAGCATTTTTTATTGAGGTAGTTTGTTTGTGTAATGTAAAACAACAAAATGGTGGAACATTTAGCTTTAATTTTACCAAACCATTGGAGTGATGTGTGTGAAATTTGGTATAGAGATTGATCATAACATCCCTGCAAATTCTATTAAATATTGTTCATAAAATCAACAGTTACAAACGTGGTGATGGTGAGGATCTTTGAGGTTATGCCATACAAATTACACAGACAAAGTCTGTATTAAGCATATTTCCAAAAAAAATAAAACAATAATCAGTGCCGCCACCATCAACAGTAGCAACAGCAAAAACAACAACGATGATGATGATGATGATGACAGTGATATCGATATCAGCAAATCGCACAACTAATTTAAGGACTTTCTGTATATTAAATTTTATAATTTTATTTAAAGTAGGATAATTATTCAATTATTAATTATGGACTGAACTATTTAATTTTCTTTTTCAGATACTTCAGATTTTCTTATGCAAAAACACTCTACAAATTATATGAGTCCAAAGTAAGTTTCTGTTTCCTGTTTTATAATTGAATGATGATTTAACCAGTTCACAATTTTGAATTAACAAATTCATATAATTTCATTGTAGGTTGCAGAATTGGTTGAACCAGTGGTTACAGAAGTATGTAAGTCATTGAAGCCACTCAAGTTCAATGACAGAGCAACAGATGGAATTTGCGATAATGATCCCTTGTTGATGGGCACAACGCTGTTTGAGCTGTATCTCATTGTTCAGAGATTTGCAGTGTAAGTGAACGTCGTATAATTTTATTCTGCTTGAGGCTCTGAAACCAGTAGTGGTTTTCTAAAAGCAAAGAATAAGTACTGGGATCACTCCGGCGGTTGTTCCCATTATACCGAAAGAACTATCATGTGTTACCCCAAAATTATTGATCTGTGATTCCTTAATCAGTTAGTCCGTTGGGTTACTACATGTGAGATGTGTGTATGAAACTCTGAAATTTCAGAAAGGTTCTGAATCGTGACTCGACAGCTAACCACTGTTGTTACTCATTGCTATGGTGCATAGTGAATGTGAACACAACAAATTACTTGAACTACTTTCTTTATGTTGGCAGGCTTGGAACTGGTTTGTGTCCAGTGGACTCAGATGTGTTCAACATCCACAATTTTCACCTCTGGTTTCATGCAGGGGTGGCTCAGTGGCTAGATATTGCACTCTATAAAGCCCTTCAGAGGATAAAGAAGGCTGTGGAAATAGATAATCTTGTGCCAGTTGATGGCAGTGTCAAGTACAGCTCTTCAGCAGTTGATACACTTGCTATTTTTTACCAGGTACCGTAACTTTGACTTGAAGGAGAGGACAGGGAAGTGGCAAGAGTTATAATATTATTTTCACATCTCTAACTTTCAGTGGTTGATGTACTACAATATATGGATTTATGTTCCAGATAAAAATATTTTGGAAGCAGCTTGCCTGGCCAGACGTTGAAGGTTCCTATACATTTGTTGCTAAGATTATTGATGTGAGTACCAAACTAAGAGTGATTACATTACAGTGGGCTGAACATGCAACTAAAATGGTGAAACAAGAAATTTTTATTTCTGTTTCCTCTGAAGCAACCATGTGGAAGTTCAAAATAATGTTAAAATGAACTTCTAAGATGGCTGAGAACCATCTCAGATTTTGGGTTTTGATGTTGTTGTTGTTGTTGAATTGTCAGGTTCTGTTATCAGTATCAGACGTAAAATTGTTCTCGTTGTGTTTCAGGATATTTGCCGGTGTTCGGTTTTCTACGCAGATCAGATGAGTGGTAAAGTGGAAGGAATGGGAGAGAGTCAGAATGTGTATGAGAAGAAATTTGAAGTGACGAATGAGGTGAGGTTCAAACAGCCCAGAAGAGGGAATGATATCCTTTGTCAAACTGAATATAATCCTGGAGATTTTGATGAATTTGGAAATAATATGCAAAAAAGAAAATTGCATGTGATATTCTACTTTGATATTTTAGAATACATATGTGGAGTTACATTTATTGTATTTAAAATTTTACATTAAGTATATGAACAACAATAACTGGATAAACAAATAATTAGGAACCATACTTCTTACCACAACAATAAGTTTTAAAGTTCTTAAAATGATGCTTCAGAAGTACTTTCAATCTCGTCATGCTTTCTTTATTTCAGTGGTGTTTGGCCATAAATAATATTGATTATGTGCAACAGTCAATTCAGCCTTTTGTTGGAGAACTGGGAATGGAAGAGATCGTAACATCTCTTGCCAACTTCAGAAGTCAGACAGCAGCCGATCATTGTCAGAGGACGCTACAACTGGTCATCGACAATGCCGTCGATACAGTTGGCAACAAAATACTGGAACTTCTAGAAAAAGTTGCAGAAAAGGTAGGAAATTTGTTTCTCAAGCCAGCCGTTATGATAATCTCTACTCATTGGTAACTCCAAAATGTTAGCGTATACCTACTAGTCCACGTGGCGTCACGACCGAGAAGAATGACACTGGCATAGATTAGTTGCTATTCCATATTAACGTGATGTATTTGCAGATGGCACCAGCAATCAACAGGTTCTTGTTAGAGGGAGCTGAACTGCTGAAACAGGAAAACAACTGCGTGGATCGGCTGATGAAATATCTTGATGATAATCTGTTGACACTCCATTCACACCTCAACACAGATAACTTCAGTCGTATTCTTTCCATCATCTGGGAAAATCTTTCACACACGATGTATGAACTTGTTGAAAGTAACCTAGAGGTAGGTCTGAAACTCATTGTCCTATTCTTCTTTCTATATGGGCTTAAGTAGTGGAGCGTATCTGCACAGAAATACGTAAGAACTGGCATCTAATCTTATTCTTGTGGAAAATCAGGATCAGCTACTGGTTTTGACACTTGCTAGAAGCTGTTGGTCTGAGGTACAGTAAAATGGTAGGAGTTGGAAGGCCTGAATACTGAATCTGAGATTAAATAATAGTGGCCATCGGTCATTGTCGGGGTCTTCATCAACATGTGTGATGATGGTGCTTGGTTTTGACTTATGGCAAATTACTGAAGAAACTGAACTTGCCAGTTATAATCATAATCGGCAGCAGTAACATATCACAGGTAAAACATAATTATTTTCCTTTCAGAGGAGGAGACCACCAACTTTCTTCTTGAATCTTCATGAAACCTTAAAAATATTGGTGGGATTTTTCAAGCAAGGTGAAGAGAAAAATGAAACGAACAGTCCAGCGATCCTGAAGCAGATAGAACACTTGCTTTTGCTGCATGGAATGGAGACGTGGGAACTAATCCATCAGTACAACTTGGAGAGAAGAGAAGAGCAGATAGCACTGGAACTGCCCAATTTAGGTCTTCTTACAGTCAGAATCCAATTTGTTGAGGACCTTTTGAGGATAGAAATACTTAATGCTAGGAACCTTCATGCAATGGATGCCAATGGTAAGTGTCTATGTCTTTAAAAACTCTGGACGTTATCTTGTTGATTGTAGTCTTTTAAGGTGTAATGCTGTGGAGGTTGTGTTAGGAGGAATATCTCACCTTGATTTTCAGGGTAGAAATAAATGAAGTTTGGATGTGGATCACTCAATGGGAATGGGGTAATCTGTTTTCAGGAGTATTAATTACTGTCACTCAAGCTTAGGCAGTGTTCCATGTACAAATTTCAGCTGCTGTGCTCTCCTCTGATTTTTTAGTAGACTTCCATTTTAATATCTTTTACTTTTACAATTCTATGCATGCGTTTCTGTACAAAAAGGTCTACGGTTGAATCCGCAGACGTAAATTGAATTCCAGTAGGATGAAAATCTAGTTGTGAAAGTAATGTAATACTCTTATATGAAATAAATGTATATTTTTCATGAGATAATGTAACATCAGCCAGATCAGGTTGAGTCAGAGGAATTTGGTATGGCCCTTGTTTATCAGTCAGAGAGAATCACAATAGGAATTGTTACAATAATAATTGTATAGTTTACAAGTTGAATTTTCAGGCTCCTGTGATCCTTATGTGAAAGTTCACCTGCTACCAGAAGAGAAATTCAGAACAGTAACAAAACCAAGGACTAAAACACACAAGAAAACGATGTTCCCGCTATTTGATGAAAATTTCACCCTGTAAGTAAATATATTGTAAGAGTGTTTTTCCTTGAAGTTGAAATATGCCATTTCTGTCATTAATTCAAAACATGATTTTCATATGTTACAACCTTTCTTTATCACGCTCTGGACGTAGAACATTAGAAGCCCTTTTTTAAGAAAAGGAGGTAGAATGTAATACTCTAATGAATTGATGTACAGAATTGTAAAAGAAATGTTGAATTTCTAATTGTTTTTTACTGCTCCATTTTAATCTCTATTCATAACAACGATGATGATGGTTGGCATAACCTTTTTGCCCCTGTGCCAAGTAGCATGTAAGTAAAGATCCACACGTTCCAGAACTTGGACTTCATGGTGAGCAGTTCAGCCAGTTTTACACCTTAGGAAGGAGACCATCGGATAGGAGGCTTGGCAGCGCCGCGACTAATCTGGACGTTATGGTGAAGAGAAGAATTCCAGTGCGCCTGCTGGGAATTGAACCCCAGTTGTATTGCTATAACGTGACTGATTGTGATTCCAGACACCTAACGCCTGAGCAGCGACACCTCAAGAATGGGCTGATAATGTTCACGGTTAAGGACCAAGACTTCCTGGGGATGAATGAGTTTCTTGGTGAAGCTTTTGTATCATTTTCTGATGTTCCCAAGACTGATATGACAACTGGGCTTGAAGAGCTGGAGCAGGTTCATTTGAAGCTCAGCAGACCAACGAAACAAGGTTGGTACAAATAATTATTTAAGGTTAGGGGACCAGACTTTGAGAATATAAATTAGGAAAATTGCCCCTATAGAACATTGTATGTAACATTTTTATTTAGAATTTTAGACCGTCGGACACCACAAACAAAATTATCAGAGAGAAATTATAACATTTCATTATGACCAGAACTTTCTGGCTGGAATTCATGCTAAGAATTTCTGATCTTTCAAACATGTTTAAAATTATGTTTCTCTGTCAGTTGAGGAGAAATGTAATGAAGTGAATTTATTCTCTTCAAGTAAAAGGTTTCTGGAAAATATGGTTCACTAATTCACGTGAGTCTAATTTTATGACAGTGCATGGTTTCAGAGGTGAATTACAATTATAACTAACGTAATACATGACGGTAAAAATAAATATTGTATTGCAAGGTTCAAAAGTATTGGATAGTATCAAAAATTTATTGGTGGTTGAAATGGATTGTTTAATATATAATCGGCAAGAATATTCAGAAAAGACAATATTCCAGATCACGTAATTAGAGACGAAAATAGATTTTCGAATTTCTGTGTGGATGATATGAAAGGAAACAATCAATACGGTAGGAACGTTCAGAGATTGGCGGACGACTGATCGTGTAAAACAAAGAAAAGTTGTGCTTTTACTATGTGATTCTGTTGTATTGTGTATTACAGTGACATTTTTTCACATTACAGATTCTGAAGCCTATAGAGCTCTGGAGAATCGGCATGATAAATTATCACGAGACTTCTTAAAAAAGGAAAAAGCAAAGTATTCTTCTAGTTAAGAACGCATACTTCAGTAATTCCTTCATTTGTTGTCCTTACTGATGCAGTATTTATTTTGTAATCATAATTCTCCTAAACTTTGTGCCTGTGATTAAATCATTTCATGCAACAATATTTTGTTCGTGACAACTAGACAGTAATTCAATCCGACAGCTGTACATTAGTTTCCTCTGGTAGTGAGTGAATTCCTTAATTGTTCAAAGATGGAGGATTCCGTGTAATATTTACAACTATATTTTCTCTGACACTGCCTAAATATGTATTACCTCGTTGACATATGAATTTCGCCTTCTTTTGAGACATCAGAATTCGTTTTTTTAAAATTAGTTCATCGTAATTTGCAGTCCCAGGTGAGAGATGTAATTTGTTCCAAAACTGACCAAGTTCGCTTAGAATCAGTGAAATGTTATAAGCAGTGCTTAGTAATTAATCACAAATTTTCCATCTGATGATTGAAAGTACTTTCTAAAGTCCGGAATGTTAATTAATATTGGGCTGAAGTTTTTTGTTATTGTAAGTTGAGCAAAGGAGTGAAGTTGCATTTTGCTTCATTTAACCTAACTAGAGAGAGAGGGCACATTTTTTTTAGGTACAGTGTGAAGTAGGAGCGTGGTTAATGTTGGTACCACTGAAGGTAGAATTGGACTGCGTCCTGAAAGGAATTAATTTCTAATATTGCTCTGTTAGTAATGTGGTGAGCTCGTTACAGGATGTAATTATATATAATTCTCATATAGAGTACTTTATTAATGATATTTATTTTATTGCTAGACGTACTTTGCTTCTCAGCTGTTCCTCCTTTTATTTACAGTATGTTATAACTTATTTTGTATGGCTAGTTAGGTCAAATGGTTAAAATATTTTCAATATTGCTTCTCTTACCTGTTGATATTTTGTGATAATATTATTGTGAGTAAAATACTCATTCGTCATTCTCAGGTACTGGATACAACGTTGCTTCATTACTGAAATTGATTATGAGGACTGCGTGCACTTAAATAAATACGAACTAAGGGCTGTACATACTCTTAGATAAAGTGGCAGAATTATTGTAAAAATTGTATACTGTACTGACTTAAGAAAATGTGTGAAGCGTTTTTATAATGAGCGCTAATTTATTTAAGTCCCATTGTCTTTCTGATTTCCTGTTGCACACAGTATGGTATTGTTAATTGAAAATGTTGTGTTTATTGATATGTATGCTAGCAGCATAATAAACAAAATTCAATTATGTTATGTTTCTTTGTTTGTTTAAGTGTTTTCTTACCTGCATAGGTTATGTAGCAATGAATGAGAAATTTTGAATGATGAGTTGGAAACAATTCCCGTGTGGAGGCTGGTTAGAATACCTCCGCCGTAGCCCTGCGAGTCGTAGAAGGCGACGAAAAGGGAACCCATTGCCTGGGGGTATAACTGGGCCACCCTCTCACTGGGGGTTATAAATACGGAGACCTGGTCCTCCAGGTTGGGGGTTGGACGCAAGGCTGATGATCTTTTTCTGTAAAAATCTGTTGTTGCAAAATCTAAAGAAGTGAAAACCAGATGGCGTAATTCACGACAACCTGGCAAAGTAAATAAGGACTTAAAGAAACTGTTGTTTGTTCTTCGTAAATTTGTATGTTTCTGATGCGCTTGTTTGCAAATGTTTTTTGTTGAGAATTATATCGCAAATAAAAACTATCATTAATACTTTATTTCAATTACTTTCTGGTGGTTGCCCTTGAAAACTCCTGTACTAGAGGCCACCTTAATGTCGAGCAGAGCAGAACTAGACAAACTTTCAGTCAGAAATGATAAAAGAAAAAAGATTTAACCAGCTGATAGTTGATACCGACTGCTCAGATCTGTGAACAGCCAAGATTGAATAACTACTATTCCAGCTGGATTATGATTGGTCCAGAAGGTTATGTGGCATCTTGTGTTAATGTTTGTTTTAAGAACAGGAATTGTGTAATTGTAGTTCCTATGTTGATTTGTGATTGCGGTTCAAACGTGACCATTCTGAAGTTGTCCTATTTTAGTTGCTTAAACATTATGGGACATAACCTAACAAGCTGACTCAGATGCAGGGCTGCGTGACTGTGCTAGCCACTTTGGTGGCAGCATTGTTCGTTTTCCAGAGATAATGGGACTGTTCGTAATCCCATCAAGTTTGACGACCATCGGTGATGAATTGAAGGGACATGAAGGGAGGGGCAATGACGTTTTTCAGGTGCCCAAAAATATTCATGGGGAGTGTTTGGAAAATGTCTAGGACCTGCAGTCAGAATTTGCAGTCCATCACGTTCGATATTCCCAATTTTGCAGCATTTCTGGCCTGAAGTTCGTCTGCCGGTTCGTATTCATGCAGTCATGTGTGCTGATGACTCATATAATTGCCATTTGAACACCAGATAGTCGTTTCCTACTGCACAAAAGCCAGCCGCATTCGCCGGGATCCGGCAGTCAGTTACGAGCAGTGCGTGTGGACGGCGTCGAAGGAGACGTGAGCCCGAGCCGAAGGACACGCAGAGGTGAGATTTCATTGCGGTTTTGTAACAAGTGAGAACGATGTCTGGTTTTTTTGAAGAAGTAGAACTTGTGTTGTTCTTGCTTCGTAATCGGGAGGCCCTGGGTTCAGATCTAGTCCCGGTTACCGGCTGCTGTTCCGCAAACTTTGTTCGCAGAACGTCTTTAATTAAAGTGACTTGTGCCTGGTTTGAATTGTCAGTAAACTTCCCCCAGATGACACGGCGCTCATGTTGGTGTGAGATTCATTCCGTCAGAACACTTATCTTAAGTGTGTAGGCATTTTAAGTGCTAACCAACTTTCACCCGTGGCTCTTTTCACATTACTCCAGAGTCTGGATAACGGGATGTAAAAAAGTGTGCGGAGAACAACCGCATTGTGGACTCGTGTTTCCTGCCAGTAGCTCACAAATTATCTGTTTCTCATCCGCTACGCCTTCCTCGTCTTCACTCGTGATGGAATTCGTTTGTGTTTCACTTTCGCGGAAACTCGCCCGGAGATGCACTCCAAAATCATCGTTCATAGATAATTGTTCATTGACGTACTAATAATGTTGGTCACTGAAATTTAGTGAAATCCCTGAGAAGCTAACAGTTACTCAGTCAGTTTCTTGGCTTTTGTGGACCCCGAAGGTTCATTGCCGTGCCCAGAAGAGCTCGCCAGTGATCCTTGCGTATAGCCAGATGAATCCATTCGCCCCCCCCCCGCACATTTTTCATTTTGGTGTTCTACTACTAGGTCTCTCAAGTAGTCTTTTCCCTTCAGCTTTTCGACTAGAATTGTGCACCCGCCTTACTTTGATCATCCCGACAGCATTTGGAAAGGAGTACAAATTATGTAACTCCTCGTTTCACTTTTTCCTCCAGTCTCCTGCCACTTTATCCCTCTTGGTAGAAATATTTTCCTGAGCACTCTGTGTAATTTTTATTTGTCACGTTCCGATTTTTTTAAACTTCGCTACATTTCCGAAAGATTTTTTTTTGTATTTTATGTAATGATTTTATCTTCCAGTCGTGGTACTGTTTACGACGGTTTCCCTAATGCCTTGTATCACAATGGTGGCAGAGCTGATGACGTCAAAAGAACGCCGAATGAGACACAAGGTCATTATTTGAGGCGTCATGGCTTATTTTAAGGCATTGTCCTGGCGTTCGCTGGAGGGAGTGAGAAAAATCTTCATAGCAGGATCTGAAAAGGGCCATAATTGACTGCACGCGCTCAAAAAACAAATTCCGCACAAAATTGAGCAGGACGTCTTCAGGTCTGTTGAACTTGGGATGCTGCGCCTCACTACACCCTTGACCATGCACAACGCCGTATGGAGCACAATCCTTGTTAAGAAATTCCCCGCCTTGCATGGAACCTGAAGGCTCATTACCAGATTCACACGCTGACAATCATTAGCGTCTTGTTAGAAAGGGGCTGGTGTCTCGTGAAGGATGGACAAGCCTTATCATTTCTATTTTTAGCGTCTCGTGTTGAGACGTCATTTGTCACGGGGTGAAATGGCGTGCCCACAATATCCGTACACTGACATTCTCAACCAAATAAAGTCAGTACTTAACAAGGAACTTAAAGCAGGATTCTTCAGAGTAATCAGAGCGACAAAGATGGATGCAGGATACACAGGGGAAGCAAGAAATGCGTGAGGCGAGTGCGTCGTCATGTGACCTCCATGGAGCAGCGTCCTCCCTGAGAAGCTGACAGTCGTTTAGTTAACAAATCCCCCGTTTTTATGGGACCCCGAAGGTTTATTACCGCGTTCACAGAAGTCCGCCACTGATGCAATCCTCAGGCACTTGAATTCAGTCCACATTCTCACACCCTGCTTCTTCATGATCCGTTTCAACATTATTCTTACACCTTCGCCTGTCTCATCGCCCTGATGATGGAAGTAGTAAGTACCTCTGAAACGTCGGTATACTTCTACCAGGCTACAAGGCGCAATAACCCAGAAAATGTCATCAACAAACTCGCAGTGGTGAGAACGTGAGATCCCTCAAAATGGCTACAAAATGTTCATATGGCTGATGAAGTGACAATACACTAAATAGACCTTTTATATAAGTTGATCTATTCTGTTTTTTTGATACGACTGAGAATATGGAGTTAAAAGTCCGCGTGGACATGACAGATTAAGTCGATGGTCTAAGCATGCTCTACTTCGACGTCACGGTAACAACAGCAATAATAAACTGCCGGTGGCGTTGTGTAACAGTGAATAAAATTATACGACGTTTAATAATGGTTGGCGGCGCATGACTCGGTCAGCTGCAGAGTCACGTGTCGCTTGAGTACCCCACGCGAATGTGTGATCGGAGTTACAGGTTGTTGCAGAATATACGTACTGCTCCTTTGTATTGGTTCTAACTAGTTCCGTAAAGGCAGAATACGTGTGACTGATGCAGAAGAAGGAAACTTCTACACAGTGACTGAGAAGAACAAAGACAAACCTTCGACTAACCCGTTCCGTGGCTCATATTTGACCTGGGAATCTGTCAGATACAAAACAACTGACAGAACATTTAGAGCAGGTGTGAGAGTGAGACAGAAAGTTCTCGTTGTGTGTGTACTTGATGATAATTTCTTGGCATCGGCTGTACTTCATGAATGGTTCTGAGTAATGGGGCATCTGGTTCCTATAGACTAAGGCTTAGGTTCAAGATCTGGATCTGAAGCTATGGGTACGTTTTGAAGACCTCTGGCTGGTATATTTGAAATGAAACAAATTCAGCTTTTCATCTGATAACAGTTGATATTATGCTGTCTTGCTGTTATTCAGTTTGGCAACTGTTTGAAGAAGAGATGGTGTTATAAAATATATTATTCTTTCATACCAAGGATGTAGAACATGTCATAGTTGTTTCTAATAACAAATATAAATTACATAATTGTGACGGTGATTCACAATCTACTACAGTTTACCACAAAAATAATTACACAAGAAGGCATCATCACTATTGCTTACATGCATTTATATAATAACTGAGAATTTTTAGATGAGGTAAATTCTTCTATGGAGTTGCAGGAGTGAGATAGGAGATGCAAGAAGTATCTCGCTGTATTGCTTCGTATGTTTATTGGCGAGCTACTTTTGTGTTTTCTCACGTTGGTAAAGTTGTCTGATATATGTTACCATGTTAAAAGCACTCTTGTGGAAAATTATTTTGGAAATTTCCTGTACTTTAACTTTTAAGTGAATTAAGTTTCGTACTTGTATTATGACATCTTCTACATCCTTTGGTTTATCCTGAAGAAGGATCTATGAAATGTAAATAAACCCCAACTCTCTGCTCTTTACAGATGGATGAGCAGCTGTATAGTGAAATTCTCTACAAAATATTGCACTTCAAAGGCTGTGATGCAGACTTAGAGCGCTCTGCAATACTGGAATACTTTCAAAAAGCCTCTGAAGTGGATGAAAAAATGCACAGCCATCTCCTTGAAGTAACAAAATTAAGAAAGGTAAATGCAATTTACGCCTGAGGTACTCATAATCTAAAGCCTATACAAGCATTGTGTTGACCTCTTTGGCACAATGCAGCTCAGCTTTGAAGTTTACGTCTGATAACAATTGATGTTAAGTTGTCTTACTGTTATCCAGCTTTAATGCCTGCAGGAGCAAAGCAATACACAAGAGTCCATGTCATTTAT